AGTAACGGGATTCTCTTTGTGCAGCCTTGGGGGGCAGAGCCTGTTTTGTACTCCCTCCACGATTTCGGTTGTTCCCGAGGCTAGTACCAATTCCTCTAACTCCTTGTGGTTTAAATGCCTCTTCTACCTGCTCCAGCCATTTGGGTGGTTTGGGTAGGAGTGAAAACAAGGAGATAGGTTGTGATCATCCTTCCTTTAAAAGTCATTTCTTCCTGTTGCAGTTAGCTCTAGCTATGACTGGTCCTGCAGCTATCACAGCTGCTCCTCCCTGTCCCCTCTGCCGCAGCTATTAATTCTCTCAGGTTTCCCTTCAAAGGTTTTTGCAGTGCTGAGAGTATCTCTGTGTACTCATCCCTGCACCATGGTTCCCTTACACAACCTCTGGTTAATTTTTACCAACACAGATGCCATTTGCCAAGATGTTCAGAGCACACTGGTTCTTTGGTTCCAGAAAACCCTCTCTCTCAAAGCAGTTCAACCTGACTAAGCAGCTGCCTCTTGTTCCTGACTGGGGCTCCCGTGTCAGGGCCATTATCAGCCGTGTTAAATTCTATATTTCTTTAAAAGCAAGGCATGATGTGCAGATTTTTTTTGTACCTGGAACATTATCACTTCAACCAGAGTTTAGCACTTGCTCTCACTCAGGCCACCCAAGTTATCACTCTATGAATGCAGAAGGTTTTACATAGTTTTTTTTTTTCCCCCTGAAGTTTCTAAGGTAACAAAAGTTGTTCAGTGAAAGTAGAGAAGAGAAGAAAAGAAGGTTGAATTATTTCTTTTGTCTTGGAATTACTGCCCCTGGGGCAGGGACCCCTAGAAGATCCAATTTTAGAGCAGCCCTTGTTCCCAGTCATTCAGCAGGATCAGTCTGGCAGGGGTTACTATAGAGATACAAGTGTCCCCATCCCTTCCCCCACCCCCAAAAATGGCTGAGCTGTACTTACTTTCTTGGCACTTCGGGTGCCCTCACTCTGGCTGCTGGGTATATTGGGCTGCATTCTGGCAGCTGTGAGAGTTAAGCTGCCATTTCTAGTTGTTCTGAGTCACTGGGCAGGTGGAGAAAGGGAGGGATAGGCTTTTTCCCCTTTGCCTTGTTTGCTCAGACAGCTCTGGGGAGAACGCCAAATGCTACTGGGGCTGGATCAGGTCAGTGCTGCTGCCTTTCTGGTACTTTCAAGAGCATGGACGGGACATTGCCCTGAAGCTGCTAATTCAGACAAGGGTAATGGATACAGTTGGGTAACACAGAAGAACTCAGACTTGCTTGCATGGTAATGATTTCTGTTCACCAGCAAATAAAACCCAGGCAGGGCCCCTAGGAAAGTGTGGTATTTTTTTACCTAAACAGATTTTAAAGTACTTGTTCAGTAGAAGGAGATTTCCTGGCAGTAATGGTGACCAGAGCACATGCTTAAAGGGCAAGTTTCCTTGCACGGTTTGGAAATGAGGTGGGAGGTGTCCTGCTACTGTGTGCCTGCCAAGCTACATCAGCCTTTGGAGTCGTAAGCCACCCAATTCAGGGGCTCCCTGGCTGCCATGGGCAGGGGAGGGTGGAAGGGACACAGGACTGTGTCCCTGCGGCAGCTGAACACCCGTGGTGCTGCTTGCAGATCCTAACTGCACGGAGCTAAAGGTCTCTTCCTGCTGTTAACTTTTCTAGGTAGGGTTAATGGCTGCTTTTTTTTTTTTTTTTTAAATCAAAAGTTTGCTATGTAATAAGTAAAAAAATCCCTTTATTTTGCATGTTTACACTGGGGGAACGATGACATGAAGCCTCTTGGCCTATTAAGTAATTGGCCTCTCTGTTACCAGTACTAACAGAGCATCACTGCATTCTGAAACGTAGATGTTCCCTGTTAGATGCCTCTTCAGGACACCTATCAGATGCAGCTACAACTGAGCTCAGCAAATAGCTCTGTAACACACCTTTCAATCACCTAGACCTTGTCTTGACAAAGCCTTTGAGCCCCAGGTGTCACCCTGGGGTAGGCAAAGACCTGGAGTCTGCCTGTGAGCAGAACAAAATCCTCCTGAAGCCTTACCTGCATGGGAGCTGTTATTTTCTCATTAGAGGCTTCAGCTGGAGATGTTGTTTGCCTGGTTCAGTAGCAGGAAAGAATTTTTCATTTCCTTGAGGTCGTCACGTGAATTGACTGTAAAGAGGATTTAGGGTACAACAGCACTTAATTACACCCGACAATAACCCGACTGCCCTTCCTGGGCATTAAAGAGCTCCATCCCGGTGGTTCCCTCCCTCCCTCCCCACACAACACACATGATCCAGGAGCTTTGTGTTGACCTAACAGCCAAATGGCCAGGAATGCGTGAGTTGGTCGGGTGACAGAATTCCTCTGCCTGCATGTGTACCGGGTAATGACAGGAGCCCAGTCAAGGCACAAGCATTTTAAAGAGCCCTAATGTGTACCACCCTCTTAGTAACACCTTATTAAAACGACAATAGAATTTTAGAAATGTAATTGCCCTTTTTTTTTTTTTCCCTTAATGATGCTAAAAATAGTGCAGTCATTTTAATTTCCCCATCTCTGGCTGACAGCTTAATTTTGTTTCCAGCAAAGCAAGGGAGAATTAAGAACAAAAAAATAGTGTTCTTTTGTAACTATATTCCTTTTGAAACTAGGAGTGATGATGGAAACAAGGCTGCTCCTAGTAACTCTCATAAATTTTCCTCTTCTCTTTCTCCCTCTTCTTTTGCAGAAAAAAAACCAACCCTGAATTTCAAAAGGTTTTGAAATTCTTTTTTTTTTTCTTGACTCAGTTTTTTTTTCTTGACTTACCGGGAAAATGAGCAAGGACAGCTCCTGCAGCACTGGGAAGGAGAGTGTTAACTGATTTCTTGGAGACGGACTTGGGGCGTGAAGGACATGTAGTGAGTGGACAAGGGGGAATGGCTTTAACCTGCCAGAGGGGGGATTTAGATAGGATATTAGGGAGAAGTTCTTCCCTGTGAGGGTGGTGAGGCACTGGCACAGGGTGTCCAGAGAAGCTGTGGCTGCCCCGTCCCTGGCAGTGTTCAAGGCCAGGTTGGACAGGGCTTGGAGCAACCTGGTCTAGCGGAAGGTGTCCCTGCCTGTGGCAGGGGGTTGGAACTGGTTGAGCTTTGAGGTCCCTTCCAACCCAGACTAGTCTGGGATTCTTAATGCAAGATGTTGATCAGCTTCAAAACCAGTCCTTGAGGTAAATGGTTCCTGAGAGAGGGAAGGAAGAAGAAAGGACGGACAAACCAAACCTGGAAAGATGTAGAGGATCTGCGTGGAAATGGGGCAAGAGAGGAACTTTGTATTCTTGCACTTGGAGGGGCGGTTGCTGTGTAGAATTACTTAACCAGAGGGTCACAGAGCAACTCAGGAGGCAGCTGTGATCTTTGTCCCTTTTGAAAATGGGCAAAAAATTAAACACTCAAATGTAACTATTATTGAGAAGATACAATTCCAAGCTGCAATGGGACTCGTGATAGGATTTTTCTCGAGAATTCTTCAGAACCAAAACAACCAGAACACTTCATTGCTGCTCCTGGGACTGTTGTAGCTCTCTAGTCATTAAGGCTGACTCTCCATCCTTGGTCTGCCTGTGTCAGCTCCAAGGACGATGCCAAACGTGTGGCAGGAGAGCCTGGAAGCACTGTCCCTGGTGTACCTCCGGCTTGTTTGGAGCCTCAGTCGGATCAAAAGCCACCTCGCATGTGGACAGCCAGAGGGTCCTTTGCAAGTAGCCTCTGCCCAACCCGGTGGCCTTGGGCCCTAAAATAGCGAGCCAGGCGAGAGACCCGCTTGCCAGCGGGGAGGCCGGTGCTCAGCCGCGGGGTGCAGGTGCTCTTCATCCGCCCTGACCCGGGCAGCCCCGACGGTAGTTGTCCCCGTGGCCGTCCTTCCACAGAGCAGCACGCAGCTCCCGCCGTGCACCAGCCGCAGCGGCTCTGCTGGCCGCGGCACGGCGGAGCCCCGAGCACCCCGCGGTGCGGGACGCGGACAAGGGAGTCCGGTCAGGCCACGGCGTCCCCGGCGACTACAGTTCCCAGCAGACCCCGCGCCGCCCCTGGCACCGCCTGCCCCACGCACACCCCCTTTGGCTCACTGGCTGAGGCAGTGCACCAATCCGAAGGCGCCGCCGGGTCCGGCCAGCCAATGGGAAGGCTGTTGCTAACACGCCGCAGTTATTTTTAGTACGGCAGCCGCTTGCGCACCTTGCGGGTCCCCCGGCTCCGCTACGGACGGGGCGGCTCGGCTCGGCTCGGCTCGGCTCGGCTCGGCCCGGCCCTCCTCTCCTCTCCTCTCCTCTCCTCCGCTGAAGGCGGAAGCGCACGGGTGTGCGGCGAGAAGTAGTGCGCGGGTTGTGTGCCGAGGGTGGGGAGCGCGGGGCCGTGGGGGCGACTGTGCCTGCTGCTGCCCTCTCTGCGGTGACTTGGGCGGCCCCTGCTGCGCCTTGCCCCGTTGTACCCCGAGGAGGTGGGCCGGCAGCACCTCCCTCCTTCCGTGTCACGGGGCCGGGGGTCCCGAGGGGGCGGCCGTAGGGAAAGAAGCTGGAGTTGCCGGTTCTCCTCGCCTCGGCGCTCTGCCGCCTGCACCGCTAGCGGGGCTGGGGGGTTCCAGCGCAGGGGTGCTTGAACTCTTGGCTAGAGCTGTTCAGCGAGCGAGCTTGTCCCTTTGGGAGCCGCACTTCCTCAGGGCCCCCCACTCATCCGGGCGGTTTGTCAGCACCACTGTGTCCGACCTCGCTGCCAAGCTACCCGAGAAAAACAAGGGCCGGTCCCTTCCCTCCCCACTCCTGCTCCATCACCTCGCCGTGTCCCCCCACACCCCCACCGCCTCGGGCTAGGCCGCTTGGGGAAGTCCTGAGATTAACCCTCATCCCCACTAAAGCCCTTGCCCCCTCCTTCCCCCTGTGCCGGCAGCGCTGAGCGAACAGGGGCACGCACACCCCTCGCGTCCCCATGCCGTCCCCGGGCCTCTGAGTGGGGCGAGGGGAGGGGGAAGTAGTCCCGGCCCGCCCTTCGCGACCGCATCACGCTGGGCGGGAGCGCGGATCCCTGCGCGGGGTTGCTAAGGGTGAAAGTTTGCCGTGAGTTGGCTCACTTGAGGATAGGGTGCGGGCGGCTGCGGGCCGGCTGGCGGCGACGGGAGGAGCGACCGACCGACGAGGAGCGGCGGCAACACCGGCACCCGCACCCCACCCCGGGCGTTTCGCACTACCGCCGGCCCCACCGCAGCCCCCGGTCCCGCCCCGCGGAGGAACCGTACCGCCGGGGAGAAGGCGAGGGAGGGGACGGGACGGGGCAGAGACCCGCACACACCGCCCGGGCTCCGCCGGCAGCTCCCACGGCCCCGACAGCCGCCGGCCCTGGAGCCGAGGACGAAGTAAGTGGAGCCAGCGGAGCTTCCTTGCCTCTCTCCCCACCCCCTTCTCGGGACGGGTCTCCCCTAGCCCCTGTCCTCTTTGTGGGCTCGGTCTGAGGGGACGACGAGCCTGGCATTGGGGGTGGGTGTAATTTATCCGGCCGTGGAGCGACCGTGCGGGTGCCGGTACCTGGGGGGATTAATGGGGCTTCAAGGGTGGGGTGGGGGGTGAAAGTCATCGGGTCGGCGGCTCTTTGCGATGCCCTAGTTCACCATTTTGTTCTGTCTGATGAGGGGACAGGGCGGGCGACTTAGCACCGAGAAGGACAGGCTGGGCCCGAGGGCGGCGGCGGACACCCTGGGCTGCCGGGGTAAAGGGGGATGTCGCCGGGCTGTCTGCCTTCCCGCATGGCGGATCCAGCCCCCGCGGGCTCTTCTAGGGGGGATAGTGAAGGGGAAGCCCAGAGACAACAAAAGACACTGCTGGGGCTGGGCTGGGCTGCACCCCCTGGTCCCGCCGGCCTCGGAGGCCGCAGTGGTGCCCCGCCGGGTGCGTGGGGCCAGGCGCTCTACCTCCCGGGGGGCGGGCATTCCCCATTCCGTCGAAGGGCTCTTATGGGGGAGCGCGTTTGCGACCCATCGGGGGGACGGGGACACGCACCCGGGTGGGGGGGGGGACGCGGGACTTGTGGCCTCCTGGTCTCTGTCCCGCAGCCTTGGGGCGGGGACGCGCGCCCCCCCCCCCCCCTTCCCCCCATCCCTCCTATCCCTGCCGAGAGGGAGGGGAGGGGAAGGGAAGGGAGGAGAGGAGAGGGCGGTTGCCCGGCGGTGCCGGGCCGCGGGGCGTGTACCTCGCCGTGGGCAGCGCCGGGGCCGGCCGCCAGCGCGCATGTGCCGTGGAAAATTTTGTGTGCTGCCCCGGCGAGAAGAGCGCCGGGCCGGGCTGGCCGCGGGGTGCCACGGGAGCTGTAGTCCGGAGAGAAGTAGGTCGCGGGGAGGGGAGGGGGGCGAGGACTACAAGTCCCAGCGTGCACCGCGGGGGGGTGGGGGTGTGTGTGATGGGGTGGTTGGTGAGGATGGGGACGAGCTCTGTGTGGCCGGGTCACCAGGAATGCCCAGTGTGCCGGGCAGGGCTCGGCCGGCTGCGGGCCGCTCGCCTCGAGTGTGGGGAGCCCCTCTGCCGCCCGTGAGGGTGTATGGGGGAGGAGGGGCACCGAGGGTGAGGTTGGGAAGGGGTCCCTTGTTCCGGCCGGCTGGCTGTGGGAGCACAGGTCGTGGTGGCAGCCGCCTTGTACAGTCACTGGAGCAGGGCTGGTGGGGTGAGGCGGCAGCAGGAGCCGGTTCCCGAGGGCCAGGCGTGCTCAGGAGCTTGGAGGGATACTCGCAAGGTCACCCGCCGTGTTTGCGTAGAGAGTAGGAGAGGGCATGGTGCCCGTGTTTGTTGTCCTCTGATGCAAGTGGTCATCGGGCCTCTGGCCTCCAGCACGTCGGTGTGCTGAAAAACAGGGGCTCCGAGCGTGTTCCCTGTGCAGAACAGAGGAGCGGCCCTTTGTTCCCTGCCTGCACCTCGGTATTCTGCCCATGGCACCATCAGCCTTTGCTTTGGCAATGCTGGCAGCGTGGGCAAGCCTCTCCTTATGGGAGACTTGTCATATTACCTTCAACAATTGATGTTGAGTTGTTCATATCTTGGCGCCGTGCAGTATCATCTAGTTTTAATTATTTTATTACTATGCTATCACATTTTAGTGCAGTAGCAAGAGATGGTGGGGGGGGCTGCTGGAGCACATCTGACTGTCAGCAACCTGAAGAGTCAGTGCAATCTCTGAATCTTAAAGCCTTCTGCTGCGAGTATCAGCTATATGCAGCTACCTTGGCAGCTGTTGGTATTATTAGGCTGATCAACTCATGGTTTTTGTAGTCAAAGTACAGAGCATTCCCCTTTTAGGAAGGGGGAGTACCTCTTAAAGAGAAGAGAAAAGGGAGGCAGTGATTTATAATTGTGTCTCCTCGCTGTCTTCTGAAGAACGTTGATGGGAATGTGGGCAACATGAATGCCTCAGAGTATATTGAGGCATTCGTGTTGCAAATAGGGTGGTAGTAAATTTTGGCCTTTGCTCCTTTGCCAATCCGTAATTTCTGATTTCTTAATAGATTTTTTGATCTGGATTAGAATTTACCACATGAGATTAAAAGATTTACAAACTGGCTGTTCTCTTCCTGCTTACTTTGCTGAGATTTCAAAGTGTCCTCTCCCTCGGATGCCTGAAAGCCAAAGGGTTGAGAAGGCTCCATGTAATCCCCTCTTGAGGTAGTGTGGGCTGTATAAGCTCTTGTTATAACATTTACTTGTGCTCTGCCAGGGGTTTGCTTTGTGCTATTTTCTCTGGAAGAGGCTCTGTCTCTGCACTGAGACTTTCTGAAAATGGCTTCTCCTTGCTCTTCTCTGAAACACTGGTTGCTTACTTCTTTGGTGTGCATCTGTTCTTAGTAGAAATTGGTTAGGTCTCGGTGACCTACCAAAAGTTGACACACTACAGTAATTCCTTGAAGCGGGTTTTAAAGGCAAGACTTCTTTCCGTCTTTTTCATCCCTTCATTCCTGTGTTTTTTCGTGTTGCTGAGTCAAACCCAGAGGGGATTCCTTCCAGAACTGACCTCCTTGCTGGCAGACTTGAGGTGCAGTGTCTGTTTCTGGTCACCATCATCCTAAAGCCAAAGTTCTCTGACCTCGGACTAGTATAGAAAAAGCACAGAATCCACACCCCTTGTTTTTTTGTAGTAAAGCCTCAAAATACTTGAAGGTTGTTTTCAAATCCATCGAATGCTTCTTGTCCACTAAACTAGACCAAGCAAACGAGTCTGGTCAGTTTGTTCTTACTCCTGACTTAGGCGAGCGTGAATACCTTGTTGTGCTGCTGGGATTCCCAGCTTCTCCGAGGAATGCTGACACTGTATGTTTGTACTCCATCCCCACCCCCAAATAATTGGCACATTGTGTAAACATTGGCTTGAGAGCTTCGTAAGAGCATCCCCAAAGCCCATTTTAGGAAGATGGTTGAATACGACATGACTGTCTGAGCAAGGTGAGGGCAGCTGAAGAGACAGCGCGGCCTCTGACTAAGCTGCCAATTAAAAACTGGATATTCTGCTTCCCTCTGGAGAGGCGTGGAGGCTACTGGAAGTGTGCTTCCTCTTAAAATATCTGTGGGTTTTGTTTTCTTGGGATGGATGACAGCGTATGGTGCTGACCTACCCGGGGCTTTTATTTTGTACCCAGGCAGACATTGTTTGCAAATCTGTGTATAATGGGAGAGTTGAGTGTTGTGGTTTTGCACTGGGCTTTTGTGGGCTCTCTCCATTTCAGAGACTTCCTCACAAGGAGGGAAGGAGGATTACTTCAGTCTTTGGCAAGCAATTTCAATTTTTGTTAAGTAGGTACCTGATCCTGGCAGAGCTTAGCTTCCCTCTGCGCAGGGATAAGCAATGTGAACTGTGTCAGACAGGCTGTTGGTATGCGTGTTTTGTGACACCAGGCGTGTTTCCTGTGCCGCTCTTCTCCCCCCCCCCCCCCCCCCCCCCCCGAATTAAGTTGGGATTTTAGGCTTGTATCTAGGCAGAGAGCCTCCACTGGGTACACTTCATAAGATCTGTGCCTGCCAGTCAAGGGGATGGTAAACACGGGCTGGCAGCTGGTGCCTCAGCACCCTCTCTAGCTCCTTCTCATATCTTCTGTGCCAGCACCCGGCATGACCACCCGGCCTTCAGGAGGAGAGGCTGGTTCTGCTGCCCTGAGCGCAAGTGGGGGTCTCTGCACAAACCACTGAGTGAGGCACAATACTGCTGGAGTGGTGTGCTTGTGTTCTGGAGAGTCTAGTGCAGGGGAGCTGTGCTGGAAACAGCTGGGTGCCAGGGCAGGGAGAGGTGCGTTAGATGTGCTGAAATAGCTCTGCCAGGGTAGGCAGTTGGCCTGCTGGGTTTCAGCAGTGGGATGTGGCAGTGAGGTGAGTATGATGTGTGTACCTGTGTAGCTACCCCCTTATTTCTCCTGTAGAGGAGCAGGAAGACTCCTCCCTAGCAGCATCTCTCTGGAGGGCCAGTAGATTTGGAGTGAATCTCCTGGAGAGCATCACTGCTCTTCAGCATGACTGTGAACTGCTCATTCTGCTTCTGTTAATGACAAAGTGCAGCTGTTCATCTCGACAGGTGATGAGTTGTTGTGTTCTCCCATCTTCATCTGTCCTTTTCTCTCTTTCCCTAGGTCTGTTTGGAGCCACATCTTGTCTATGTGTGTGTCACTTTGTCTCTTTTAATACACTGCCCTGACTTGCTTGCTGCAAGGGGAGTATGCATCTGGAGATCAAAGTTGCTCTTAACTTCATCATCTCATACCTGTACAACAAGCTTCCTCGGAGGCGGGCAGACCTGTTTGGCGAGGAGCTAGAGCGCCTGCTGAAGAAGAAATATGAGGGTCACTGGTACCCAGAGAAGCCTCTGAAGGGATCTGGCTATCGCTGCATTCACATCGGGGAGACAGTGGATCCGGTGGTGGAGCTGGCAGCCAAGCGGAGCGGGCTGGCTGTGGAGGATGTACGTGCCAATGTGCCAGAAGAGCTGAGCGTCTGGATCGATCCTTTTGAAGTTTCCTACCAGATAGGTGAGAAGGGCTCTGTTAAGGTCCTTTACCTGGATGACAGTGAGGGCTGCAGCGCCATGGAGCTAGACAAGGAAATCAAGAGCAGCTTCAACCCCGACGCCCAGGTATTTGTCCCGATCGGCAGCCAGGACAACTCTCTGTCCAGCTCTCCATCCCCCTCCTTCGGTCAGTCACCCAGCCCCACCTTCATCCCTCGCTCTGCCCAACCCATCACTTTCACCACTGCCACCTTTGCTGCCACAAAGTTCGGCTCCACCAAGATGAAGAAGGGCGGAGGAGCCGGAGGAGGTGGTGGCGGAGCAGGGGCTGGGCAGCAGCTGAGGATGGTCAGGTCTCCCACTACCAACCTGCTGAAGCACAAGGGTCTCTCCCTGTCTATGCACTCTCTGAACTTCGTCGGCAGCGCCGGGAGCCAAGCCCCACAGTCACAGCTCTCCCCCAACGCCAAGGAGTTCGTGTACAGTGGCGGGTCACCGGCAGCCAGCAGCCTCTTCTTCGATGGCGTTGCCAGTGAGAGCCAGGCCAGCAGCATCCCGCCAGCATCGCAGTTCAACACTGGCACGGGTGGTACCTTTGATATGGCTCAGGTCTTTGGTGGCAGCACCAACAGCCTCTTCTTGGAGAAGTCTCCCTTCGTGGAAGGACTCAGCTACAACCTGAATGCCATGCAGTATCCCAGCCAGTCATTCCAGCCTGTCGTCTTGGCCAACTGAACACAAGGAAAGAGAGTATTTTGGGGCAGGGAGGGAGGGGGGAGAAACGAGAACAAAACAAACAAGAGGGAGAGAAAAAGAAAACTAGAAATATACAGAAAATATTCAAATCTTATAAATATAGCTTCTTGGGAAAAGAGAGAGCCCAGTGTTGTTGCGCTGTGCTGGTAATGCTCCTGAAGCACTGATTTGTTTTTTAACTCAGTCCCTATGCTTTTTTCCTACTCATTTTTTTACTCCTTAAATGAGCCTTGGGATTTTTTTGGTTCATGTTTCCCCTTCTCCCAGCCCAGGGCTGGTGCAACCATAGGTCACGATACTGCTGATTCCCTGCACCATCCCCCAGCGCTGGACACAGGGTCCTTCCACCTGGGTGTAGGGATGTCTTCCTTGTACCAACTTGCTGGAAGCTGGAGGAGGGACGGAGAGAGGATGAGTCAGTGGAGATACACACGCTCCTGTTGCGTGCTAGCCAGAAATGGGTGGGTGAGCTTGCTTGTTCTGTTACGGGTCTGCATGTAGACTGGAGAGCATCTACTGTGCCCATGGGCGTAGACCATTGTGCTGTTTGTTGCTCAGCCCAGGCTGGTGTCAGCTGCTCTGTGTGCTGCAAAGCACTAACTCTTCTTGACCACTTCCCGGCACGAAGCAGGGAGGGCAGAGCATTACTGTGAAATGGCTTCTTCCTGCTCCCTTCCTCACCTGCACTTCCAGCTGCAGCTGCAGGAGGACAGCCTTGAACTGAGTGGCTGTTATTGCCCCCTTCTGAGTGAGGGGGCCTTGCTATGCCCCCCAGGGCTGGCCAGGCAGTCTGGGCTGGGTCTGAGTTCTCATTCCCTGCTGTGAATTCATCATCTTGTCTCAAAGAGGGGATTCCTTCCTTTTTCCTTAGCAAGGCAGCACAACTTTAGAGGAAGAAGGGCTGTGTTGTCGAAGCTGCTCTCTTGAGTGGTGGCATAAGGGTTTATGCTTTCAGTGAGATACCCACCTGACTAAATCCCCTCCCCTCCTCCTCTAGAGAAGTGGGAAGAGGCAGCTGATCCAGCATGGAGGGGAAGCACCTAGCCCAAACTCATCATTGCAGCCAGATCTCATCAGTGCAGATGGCAGCAGGCTTAGAGCGGAGCCAGGCACTTCGAAGGTGAGCAGTCATCCTGCTGGGTCAATGTACGGTGCCTCCCTGCCACAGGGCCAGGATCCAGGAATGCTCCTGCAGCTTTCCCCAGGGTGATGTGCTGCAATTGAGCCACAGTGGCTTTACAGCTAGGTTGGGTCTGTGTCAGGGACTCCAAAAGCCACCTTCACAGGAAGCCGAAGGAGGGCTGCTGCTTTCGCTGGCAGGGTGGAGGCTCTCTAGGTGGGAAGAAGACTGCCTTGGAGGCTGTTGTGTGAGTATGGAAGTGTGCAGAGAGGAGAGAGATGGAGATGATGAGACTCCAGTTTTTGAAGTTCTCACTTAAGAAGAAAAATAAGCTGCTTTTTTTTTTTTGCTGCCTCCCAAACTTGAGGTTTGGTTTTCTTTCAGTGGTGTCTCTGGAGCACGCACTAAAGCCCACTTCTCCTGTATCTGTCAAACCCATGTGCTCTTTCAAGACATCCCTGTTTCAGGGGACGTGGGCTTGAACCCAGGCTGCAGCTCCCTCCCCTCGAGCTGAGACAAAGGCGCTCCCGCCCTCTTATAGTTAATGCTGCCAGTGAGCCCCAGGGAGGCTTCCACTGCCCAGAGCTCTGCAGGGACAGTTCCTAGCACCCTGCCCCTCGCTGGGTACTGGGGGGCGGCACAGTCCCTCCCTCTCTTCCCGAGCAGACCGCTTGCCATTGAGCTATGACCAACATGTGGGTGGGCAGGGAGGGTGGCTTCCCCAGAACCAGCCTCTGCGGGCTTCCACACCAGGACACGTTGCCGAGGAATGGCCGAGCAGTTGGGTTTCCCTTTTGTTTCCGTGTGTTTTTTGACACACTATACCCCCCCCCCCCCCCCCCCCCCCCGACGAACATCACCACTGCTACCGCATCCTCCTCCCGCTGTCCCTGCATCCGGACAGCGTGCTCTCCTCCAGCACAGGAGGAGAAAGGAAAGGAGGAAGGAAAGGTTGGGATAACCCCCCCTGCTCTGTCCACCTGCTTATGTGTGTGAAGCTTTGATGCTGCTTTGCCCTGCCACACGTATTCTACCTGCTTGAAAACACAGTGGTGTGAGTGAGTGGAAGGAGGAAGAAGAGGAGGGACCAACCTCTTTGTATCTTAAAAGGAAAAAAGCGTGCTTCAGAAGTGTTCCTCCAGCGTCAGGCAGCGATGGAAACTTAACGGCCTTTTCGGGTCTTTTCTAGTCTTGGATGTAGGCGTTCAGCTTCGAGTTTATTTTTTAAAAACCTGCACTAATTTCCCTGGTTTCTTAGGAAGAGAAGAGAGGAAAAACATTTTTTTTTTTTTAACTTTTATTTTTTATGGGTTTGTGTTTTGTTTTTTTTTTGTTGCTGTCTGTTTGTATTGAATAATTTGCTACATTTGTAAAATGTCAGAGGTATATATAATATATGTATATTTCTAACGTAAGAGAAAAAAACTGTAATTTTTTTCTTTTCAAGATTTTTTCTTAAAAAGAGGAGAGAAAAAAATATTTTTTCAGGAAAAAAACTTTAAAAAAAAAAAGAAGTGGTGAAGATTCCTTTCTCCCCACTCCCGCAGCCTCCCTCCTCTCCCTCCCGCCCCTCTCCGAGGAGTGAATCCAGAGTTGCCTTGTGGGAGAGGCCAGAAGTCTCTCTGTGTCTGAGCAGAGGGTTTCTGTGTGTGCTCTGCTTTTGGGGTTCTGTTCCCCGAAGGGGGCTGCTGCGAGGGGGCACCCAGGGGGTTGCTGTCTTTTGGGTTTTATTTTTCTCTTTATTTTATTTTTATTCTTTTCTTTAGAAGGAGGAATACAATCAGAGTTTTGTATTCAGAATGTTGTGCAATATTTTGGAAGGGGACATTGGTGTGTCTAGAGATTTAGTTAAAAACAACAAAACAGGAAAAAAAAAAAGGTTGATCAAATCTGTACAGTTTCTATTGTTCCAGATTTTTTTAAGTTTGTATTAAAAGCATGGTATAATAAATGCTTGTTTCGTGGTGTGTGTGATTGGCAGGCAGGGAACACTTCTGCTCCATGCTGCGCTTGGGTGGAGTGGTGCTTGGTTGTGTCCTGCCGCAGGCAGGGTGAGTGATGGAGGTCAGGAATAGCCTGGTGATGGCCAGGCTTGTGCAAGACCTCGAGGGCAGCTGCCTCCCTGACCTTGTGCTGCCAGGAATAGCGGCGACATAGGAAAAAGTGTCTGTGTGCCTGGTCCTGCCATGATTCAGCTCCTTGAGCAGGGGAGGCCAGGGCTGAGCTGGGGTTCCGCTGGTCGCTGTACAGGGTAGCTGAAGCCTTTCTCAGCAGTGGTTTCTGCAGAGGGCCTGCTGGTTGTGGCATCTCTCTCCTCTGCAAAACAGTTTGGGGTTTATCTGGGGAGACTCAGGAAGCGGAGAAAGCCTGAAGGTGTGTGTGCAGGCCCTATCCTCCCTGCTGTGTATGCCTGTCACCGGAGGTACAGTGACTCCTCGTAGCAGAGCGGGCTTGAGGTTGGACAGAATAGGCAATGATGCAGGTCTGATCTTGTTCCTTTTTCTCACCTCATTGCTTACCTTTAGTTGTAATTTCTGGCAAAGGGCACTTCTCCATGGTGACAGGAGGTGAGATGGCCCCTCTGTGCTGAGGAGGATGCCGAGGTGCCTGTCCCAACCCAAGGGTGCCCCATGGCTGTGGAACCCAACTGCTCCTGCTCCAGGGGGACCTTGCAGCTCTGGATGTACTTGAGGCAACCAAGCGTGGAGCCAGTACCCGTGGGCAGCTCACACCAGCATCCTCACCTGTGCCCCCTCAGCCCCCTGAGCTGGAATGTGTTCCTGGAAGAGCTCATGTTGCTCTGCCCTTGGCTTTGCAAGCCGCTGTTCGCGCTTGCTGCGTGCCACGTGACTGTCACCCTCTGCTAAGCAACAAAACTATTTTTTCCCCTTTGTGCCTCAAACCCCTTGCAATCATTTATCTCGAGTGTGCACCAGCGCTTGCCCTTACACATGCTTCTGGGAATGGAAAACCGAGGGCGCGTATGTGCCTTCCTGATCCTTGCCCTGCATTTGCTCAGCTGTGACGCAGGGAGGCACGGAGCCTTTCCCTTTTTGGACACAGGTACGGCCGGGTGATAGGGCCTGGAGTTGGTTTACAACTGATAGCTGTGCAGCCTGGGCAGGGTTTAGGGCAAAGCCTTAGTGTAGCCTCAATCCTGTCCAAGCTATTTGCCCCTGGAGCCTGAAGGGTGTGGGGAGGTGAAACACCCGCCTGGAAGCAGTGTGTTGGGATGGGGATCTGCCCTCCATCAGCCTCCAGGGAGGGAAGGAGATGCTGGAGCCCCGTGTCGGGTGGTGCCTGGGTGTGGGAGTATTTGCTGGGTGCTTGTCAGTGGCTGAGTCGGTCCCCAGGTTGGGTGCTGCAGCAAAGCACAGTGACAAGATGGGGCTTGTCTCCTGGAACCTCCAAAGCGAGGGGCGTGCGGGTGGTGTTTAGACACTCGTCACAGGGGACTCCGTTGTTAGAAGGAAACGTGCTGCTTGAGTCACCGAGCGGGCGGGCTCCCATCTGAAAGGAGACAGCTCTGCTAGAAAACGCCATGCTTCAGCCTTGGGCTTTTCAGCCTGTGACAGCAGCAATTTCTGACATGCTTCGGGCTGTTCTGGGAGAGGGAGGGGGCTGGCACCCCGGGGGAAAGCCTTATGCAAGCAGGAGAAGCTGGCTGTAAGGCAGCCGTGCCCTGCACTGCGTTTTCAATACGGGCCCAGCCAAACAGCCCAAGATTGTTCCGGCAGGAGAGCATCTCCCACCGCCTCAGAGCCCACTGCAGGCTTGGGGTTGTTGGGATTGAACAACACACGGCACAGGCACCGCTGACAGCGGGTGCCTCCCCTGTGCCGGCACTTGCCGACGTGCCAGCACCGAGAGGTGCA